AGATGGGGTTAAATGAAACGAAATGATATTAGAAACGATTATGAATAAAATCATGAGAAGATGAAGCATAACTTAAGGGAAAGGGATACACTTTCAAGTATGAATAATAATAATAATAACTGGAGACCATGGTAACGACAAGGATAAGACATACTTCTTTTGTACGTACATATCTGGCTTCAACTCATGGATGGCAAGAGCTTCTACTGTTTTAAGGAGTTAAGTAGAAAGAAATCTAGGTAGGTTTGGATGAATTGTTCAAATGGCCTTAAAATTAACCTGTGAATTGGTAAAATGATTAGAGTCAATTAGATGTTAAAGTATGGAACTTTCAACTAACTTCCCTTCACCCATTTAAAACGATACTGGGATATGTTTGTGTATCAAAGTTGAAAGCATGAGCTGTCTATATCTCATATACCTTGCTCCTCATGATTTTATTCATGATTTTTTCTAATATCACTTCATTTTTAACCACATCTATTACCAATGATTAGCGTAGCAAAAATATTTTAATCACCTTACTTCATTCATAGTACAATCCACTGCTAACTTATTAATTTTACAAGGCACATACACAATATTTTATTATTATTATTCACATTACGTAATTATTATTGCAGACAACCTTTTACGTTATAATTCCATTATTTTATTCAGGAATCAATGGGAGAGTCTGTCCTAGAAATTGAATACAACAAGATATAATCAGACATCGCAACAGGTTAAGGACATTTACATATTTTTTAGAAATGATTTTATTCAAAACCAAATATATCTGGTAATTATAGACAAAGATGGTTGGTGGCTAGCGGTGGAATCCAGGATGCGCGTTTAGTCTTATTTGGGACTCGTTATCTGGATGTACCTGCGTCTCAGAGTTGATGTTCATTCCACGACTCGAACCCAGTAACGTTGGCTTCAAATACCATCACGTTATTCACTTAGCTACTGAGTTCTGATAGCCACTTGGTTGTACAATGGAGTGAAGTTTCAATTCATTTTGTATTGCTTGTTCGAATCCTCCCATTGATGTTTAGGACTGCGATTGATCAGTCTCTTATTGGCATATGTGCATATTGCCTTACTATTGCCTTAAATCACAAGCTTTATAAGTAAAGATGGATGATGGCTAGCAGTAGAATCCAGGACGGTAAGTGGATAAAGCGATGACATTTGAAGTGAACGGCACTGGGTTCGAGTCGTGGAGCAAAAATCTTCTCTGAGATGCAGGTACATCCAACTGACTATTCCCAAATAGGATGAAACGCTCATCCTGGATTCCGCTTTTAGCAACTATCCATCTTTGTTCATAATGCTTGTGAATTAAGGCAATATCGAGACAATCCACACGGTATACACATATGCCAATAAGAGAGAGACTGATCAATTGCAGTCCTAAACATCAATGGGAGGATTCGAACAAGCAATACAAAGTGAATTTAAACTTCACCTCATTGCACAACCAAGTGGCTATCAGAACTCAGTAGCTAAGTGGATAACGTGATGGCATTTGAAGCTAACAGTCCTAAACATCACTGGGAAGATTCAAACAAACAATACCAACTGAATCTATAACTATTAATTGACCAACATTAATTTGTTTATAAGTAATTTGAAAATGATAAGAATAGTGAGTAGATTATAGATATGATAATGTATCATTCAGTCAGTTAGTGACGATGACAATCATTATAAAACAATTTTTTGATCATTCAAACAACTCAGTATTTGGCATAGTTCCCTCCTTATCTTTTTTATAATTCAATTTGCGAAAATAGATCTATTGTTGATATGTAATATATTCATTAAAACAATAGACAAACATCAACTTAAGTAATCATTCAAAGTTATTGTGTCAACACTAATGAAGTTATCTAGTACAATAATAGAATATTGGTCAATTAGAATAGAGAAAGGAAAACTATTTGATGATAAATTATATTCCTGAACTTATAATTACAATAATCGTGTACTGTGATAAACAATTATCTCAGAGAAAATGGATACACTGAATCATTTTTAAGGAAATATAATACTTTTAATAATTGAGATAATGAGTCAGTTGAAGCTAGACCACCATGGAAAACCTGGAAGCACTTGACGGCCGTTTCCCCTTATTGTGGGACTCCTAGTCAGTGCGCATACACGACCCTGCCTCGCGGAATTCGAACCCAGGACCTAAGACGAAACGGCTTTCCTTCGGTGGTCTAGCTTCAAGTGACTCATGATCTCAACTATTTAAATTACTACAATCTCCGCAAAATCCATTCTGATACAAATATGATACTCAATATGTAAACAAAACGGAAGTTTATAAACCCCAAGAATAACTGACATTCAAAGGTGATTGAACCATAAGTAAAAATAATCAAAAAATAAGCGGAATTCGAAAATCAAATTTTATTCTATGAAATCAATTCCATATGATGGGAATCTATATTCAGTAAGATAAACAAAAGAAGTTAAGTACCGATTATATGTCACCTCTCATTATGAATATCAATTGACATGCACATCTAAAAGCATGTACATTTGAAAGACAGGCTTCTATTTAATTTGTTGAGAATATTACCAGGAATATACGCCTTTCGGGACAAAACAGCATTTGTAGCTCGATAAGAAGACATCTGTTGTACAAAAGGTGTAATATTGACTTTATAAATGCATTTAAAGTCATTAACAGACCGTTCAATTTGATTTTATGAATTTTGGCCGAAGCCATAAACATTAGCTGGCTTAAACTTGACTTCATATCAAAAAAGTCAGTAATTAACCTTTACTTGCCCTGGTCACAGAAGCAAAATTAGTATTTTGACCCTTTTTCTTCAATGGATTATATTCGTGACTTCCTAGGTCACTATTATAATGCTAAATAACATAGTAGATATTATTAGACTGTTATAAACAACCATAAAAACCTTGTTAATATGGGATTCCTAACCTCTTTTACATTCTAAACGAACTGTTTGTTTATGATTAGTGCTTTTTGACATTTTTCTTAATTTTAAAATTGTATTATTAGTCAGTATGTAATTGTCGAGATGGTTGAATTTTATTGAAATCATGAATCGATTTGAGTCAGACAACCACTGAAGGCATGGAAGAACTGCATGTTAGTTTCATTCTGTTATGTGAGATGATAAGGCAATATTGCGGGTCTATTGAGGTTAGGCTTGTATAACAGTGAATACAGGCCCAGTTGTTTGTAGGTTAAACGTTCGAGCGCGAAACTGAAGAATTTGGGTTCAAGTCTCGCGTGCGAGACTTTGAGGTATTCTGTACTAGGACAAAGCGGCCGCCTAGTGCTTTCATGACCTTAATAATTGGAAATTACTAAACTTATTACATTGTATTAATCCGAAAAAAAGAAACAAGATACTCTGAATTATTAGTATTTCATGAATATTGTTGTTTTCGTTTTGCTTACGTATTACGCGTAGGTTATCTGCTAAATTTCATGATAAATGAAAAAGGGGAACTTATTAGTAAGTAAACAGAATGTACTTGAAAGCACAGAGGGTAATTATACAGTACTATGTTGATCAGTGTATTATCCGCTAGATATATTGTTCAGGAAAAACTACTGACTACCTGGATAGGTAAAATAGGATCAAACGCTCGGGAGTTAAGTTATTAGTATGGTAGTCCACTATGTCATATTTTTCAAACAGCTATAATAAACTTAGGGAGTAGTTTCGTTAGTATTCCTTTTCTTATTGCGTCTTTACAGGGATTTCGTACTCTTTATTGAACTAAATCTTTTAAGCTTGTTTGAATTTTAGGTAACTAATTACATGGCAAACTTTACTTTTTACTAAGACGACATGACTGGTGAAATTCAAATGTATTTAAAAGAAGGCGGGCTTTACATATGATACTGGATGACAATTGAATCAAACCACAATTTAAATGAAGTTGGAAATCTGAACCATTGCATTTTATTCTAGTGGTTTAGAGAAATGTAGTTTCCATGATACGTGAATGTCCACGTTCTAATCCTTAACTAGCTCGTGGGTATAGATTGAACTACAAATGAGATAGTCAGTACTTTCAATGATTCATTTCATAATTGAACTAATCTACACAACTAACGTATCAAAACTTTCAATTTTTCAACCAAAACTCAAATTACAATGGTTACTAAACATCATGACCTGGTACAGTGAACATACTAGATAGTGGAAAAATGATACACCCTTACAATCGACCAAACATTCTTTTCATTTTAAAGTAAGTGACTGAACTTGTGAATAGAAAATTATTTTATCATTATCAGAATTGAACATTACATAAAACAATAAAACCAGTTCAACAAATCAAAATGAAATAAGTAAGCAACAAACAAACAAAAGAGACATACACTTTACAAATCATTTATATTCTATTCTTTATATATAATTTACATCAAAATAATAAAGAAGAAAAAAAAGAAGTCATCTAACGAATAAACATAAATATACACTTATACTTAACATACATTGTATATCACATTAGGACTTCTTCATTGCTAATTATTCAATATAGACAATACCACCGGTGTACAGTTTGAAAATTATAGTTATAATAATAATAATAATTATTATTATTATATACATAGATATAAAGAATATGTACACATAAAGTTAATTATTTGTAAATAAAATAAGAACAATATAAAGGAATAATAAGAACTTTGTACAAGATATACCCAACTACTATTTTCCATCTTGTTGATTTTCGTATATATATATATATATATATATATATATATATATATATATATATTTCTTTTTTGCTTGTTGGGGGGGTGGGGGAAATAATCAAAATAAGTATGGTACAAGCAAAATGTCTACATCTGCATATATATATATATATATATATATATATAAATCGAGAGATTGCTTCGGTTGTTAACTGCAAAATACAACTCCATTTTGAAGGTGATTTATCTATTACGTAATCAAAATATATATGGTACAACCAAAAAGTATATATGTATATCCCATAGCAGATATATATTATATCCATCCATAGAAATGTAGAAACCACCATAAAGATTCATCAGTGTGATTACCTTTAGGTTTTATTAAACTTTTATATTGTTTATATAAATCTATTGGATCAAATATAAAATGTATAAATAAATCATCCCGTGAAAAATAATTTAATAATTGAATATTATCTAATGAAATTTGTTTTAAATTATGAATAATTTCAATAGAAGAATCATTAGTAATATTTAATTGTTTAAAAATATTTTGGCGCGTACATTCCTTAAAAAATGAAGGAATTTTAAATGTTTCAATATTATTATTATTATGATGATGATGATTGAATACAATTTTATTGATTTTTTTATGAATGGATTCTAATTTCCATGTTTGATAAAAATTTTTTTGTATTAAAATAGATAAACCATCATGTAAATAATTACGAAATTTAATAAATTCACTTTGATGTTTTATAGATATAGAATGTTTTTTATGTCTTGGTGTTTTATAACGTCCAATAAATTCTGGTGGTCTAGTTAATTTTAAATTATAAATTAAACCACGTGCTGAAAATTCATCATCTTCACTACCCCAACCCCAATGACGTGTTGGAAATCCATTGATCTATTTATTTGAAAAATAAAAAAATAAAAATAATAAAAAGGGGGAGGGAAAGGAAAGATCACTTCAAACATAACGATAATTACTGATAATTAAAAGTATATTCAATACTGACTAGTTAATTAGTAACAATCAATGATCTATTTATTTAATTCTAAATGTTTCAATATACAGAAAAGGAGAATTAGGATTCTTTAATATAATATAGCATGCAACAATCAAAACACATTTGATGGAAAAGATTTGGAAGATGTAAAAACTTTCACATATCTGGGCAACATCATTGATGAACATAGTGGATCTGATACAAATGTGAAAGTGTGGATTGGTAAAGAAAGAACAGCACATTTACAATTGAAGAACATTTTAAACTCAAAACAATTGTCAGTCCATATCAAAGTCAGAATTTTCAATAGAAATATCAAGAGAGTTTTACGAAAACTTTGAGAAATATGAAAGTCATCATTCAGAAACTACAAATTTTTATTAATAGTTATCGACACAAAATACTTTGGATCCGTTGGCCGAGAAACTATCAGCAACAATCTACTGTGGGAGAGAGAACAAACCAGATTCTGGTGGAGGAAGAAATCAGGAAGAAGCGATGGAAGTGAATAGGATACATATTGAGGGAAGCACGCGACTGCGTCACAAGACATGCCCTCACATGAAATCCTCAAGGCCAAAGGAGAAGTGGAAGAACAAAGAACACATTCCACCGAGAAACGGAGACAGATATGAGAAGAATGAACAAAAATTGAACAGAACTAGAAAGGAAGGTCCAGGATATTGTGGGTTGGAGAATACTGGTCGGCGGCTTATGCTCCATTGGGAATAACAGGCGTAAGTAAATAAGTGAGTAAGTAATGTTGATTATATTCGATCAGTCAAGTTTTGTTATGATCAAACTAACTTGACTTCTAAGTGAATTGAATTAGATCTTGGAACTTCTCTCAACTATTTACAAATAAACCAAAATGATTTTGTTTGAAGGTGATTAATTATTGTTTTTGTCGAAAAACAGAGGACAGCTGAATTTTTTGAGCAGAGGTGTATAGCGGTTAGTTGTGGAACCCAGGTCGTGTATTTTGTCTTATTTTGGATTTGTTGGTTGGGCACACCTGCATCATAGAACTGATATTCACAATGAAACTCTAATTCAGTATCGTTCGCTTTAAATTGCTTACGTAATCCATATATCTACAGACACCAGATAGTTACTGGATCTCACTGCAACTCACTGTCGAGGTAATCTACACAAGACTCACATATTCCAAGAGAGACTGATTAGTTATAATCCTAAACAATAATAGGAAGATCCCAACAATCAGTATATATGACTTATTTCACCTAACTAATGATATGTACGCGCTAAAACTTCAATTACCACTAAATGATTAAAAGGTTGATTTCCAGTGAGTTAAAGGAAACATTCATAAAGGCCAATAAACAAATCATCATTTTCACTCATGTCATATTGGATAAAGATTTTGTGTTTATTTCCAGCATCAAACATATAATGAGCATAATTTAACGGATACATTAAATTTGAATTTCCCCTGATAAAAGGTAAAACACGAATCGGTAATAGTCGAAGTTTTCATATTTCTCAATATCATTGAAAATAGTACTTATATAAAAAAGCATTGGGTAAAAGAAATCGAATATACATTACAGTAAACTTATATAATATAAGCTTAACGATTAACGTTCAGTGAAGAGAACGAGAACACAAGTGGGGATAATTGAATGTACTCAAACACAAAATTACGGAATCTCCCAGTAAAATCTGAGAACCATACAATGAATACTTCATTTACAAAATGTCAGTCATTTGTCTCAGACTTCACTGTTCTTTCGTTTGCACACCGATCATTCTTTGTTCTCTTTCTCTTTTCTTTGATCTTCTTAACCTTCTCCCCTTAGGTATTTCACTTTTGACTGATGGTGCATACTACTTATGACTGTAGACATCAGTAGCACACATCACAGTTATCACAGTCAACATTTTTGAGAATACATGTTTAACTTAATAAATAACAGCTTAAGAATTTATAAAAGAATTTAGTCAATTTACGCTATTAAACATTAAATTCCTACTTAAGGATATTGTATTGTGATACACCGGATTTGTATGCTTAAATATGAGCTCTGATGAAATTCGTTTACGGTAACTCTTACTCTGTCAAATTAATTATCTTTTCAAAGATAATTGTCAGACGTTTTACTGGATACCAAATGTATATCAGCTAAGCTAAGTATTAACATTGAAGATGAAATAGAAAGATTACTGAGTGCTACGAATGTAAACAACTGTAAAATGGAATATGCAGTTATTGTGTCTAAAAACAACAACGTGGTAAATTGATATTAGAGAAGAACTATACTGACAATTGTACTCCAATTAGCAATTTTTGTAATAGTACATTTTTTGTAAAATTTCAAGTGGTGCACGACAAGATAGTTTCATTCAACATATCTAGAAGTTATTTAGAAGATATATAGAGAAACTAAACAATCACTAACTAAGAACTTATTTCTTGCATTTGAATTACCCTTTCACATTTATTAGGCATCATATATTATGCCTTAACTTTAAAAGACTTCATAAATAAACCAAACTATAATGGTCTTAACACTGAACCAGTTTTCATTTCATTGATTAATTAAAAGACAAGAAACTGTTACAAACATTGTAAATGAATTCCTTATTTAGTTTTTAAAAGGTACATCTACTTGAGGTGTTTTCCTAGAGAGTTAAAAACCATCTATTTGCATGCTTTAGTAAAATATAATACTTATGGATAGAAAGAAAATATTTCAGAATGTTTCCGAATTTTTATTACATTACATAACGTCTTTTTTTCTCACCTTGAAAATATTCTCTTTAGACATAGCAGCAACACCTCCTGCACTGTTTACAAATGGTGGATGATATCGTAAGTCATCAACAGCAGGTGATAAATGTCTTAATTCTGTATCACAAATATAAAAATTTTCACTTTTTTCAGGTAAAAGATCAACATCATGAAAGATAAAACAATTAATATCTGGATCAATATCCAGTGCATGCAAAACTCCAACATTAAATAGTAGTCCACGATTGAAAGGAGTGGTTCCAGCCTTAGAAAAAAATAATCAGTCAGTTCAAAAAACTAAAATATGTATGTATATAACAAAACTAGATACATTTCCTAGATAATAAGACCAGTTTAAAAATAATTTAGAAATGAATACTATCCATCCGAAGATTTTATTAGTTAATAATGTACCTGGAATGATGAGGATACCAAGATATCAAAGTTTAGACACTAACACAGACCAATCCCAGAGCAATATTTTTCATTTAAAGGGACTGAAGGTATCTTATTGTGGTGTTTGAATGAACTAATGATTCCTTTGTACTTGTTGAATGCTTGATTTTGAATTCCAAATACAGTACATTCGTTTGTGTTTATCCAGTACTTCTTGATCTAGTCGTGTTATTTCTATGATTTTTAGTTCATGCTATAATTCAAATACTCCTAATTACCATACTTATGCATGTTAGTATTAAAACCCAGTGTTTCTACTGATTAAAAACATGTCGTCTGAGTATGAAAAATTAACAGGTGAATCACCCGATTGGACTAACTTCTTAAAATTGAAAGGTGTCATTTCTTTGGATACATCCGCGAAGAAATTAGATCAGAAGTGGGACGGTAGGCGACCCTGATAAAAGCCCCTTGAAATTGGCGTCAAATGCAGAACCATTTGAAAGCTTCTGTACTTCTTTAGAACACCTTCCTGTGAAAAACACTGCCACAAAACCTCTCGGTCAATGGAGTCCAATTCTGTTCCGAGTTTTGAGAACTTCGACGGTAGTTTAGCATCGGTAATTACATCCGTGATCTACAACCTGATGTTAAGCAAATATTTGTTGGGCACATTTGTTTCTAGGTCTAAAATCATCCTGACTATACAGGTTTTGCTTTTTACAAGAGTTGTTTTAGAATCAGATGGTTAAAGAGTATTATTTCAGACACTAAGTCAGTCAAAAGGTTTATTTTGTAATTGTGCTTAAAGCCATTTGGATACCATTCCAAGCTTATCCAAGATAAACCGTTTTTCTACGATAGACAAGGCGCATGGCTAATTCTTCTCAAAACGAATCACTGACTTTCATATTTTTTAATTATTCAAGAAAGAGAGATAGTTTTTGATCAAGCTTGGTGACACGATCCAATTCATCCCGTAAAGTTGGACGTCTCTAGGTGGGACAATGAGCCTCCTTACACTTAAAGTTTGTAATTGCGAGGAATAAGCAGTAGTCATAACTTTTTATATATTACTCTGGTACATGAAATACGCTATATTTAATCGGAAATTAGTGGTATGCATTTAAATGTAAGTGGCGTGCACGTAGTGACCAAACATATTTATCTGACTAATAATGAGACTAATTACCATATGTTCTATTGCAAACCTTAGTATGCATTCTGTACAGTGACTTGTTAGTTATGAATGATCCACGAATTTCTGTCCTGTAAAGTTAGCCTGATATCTTTGAGAAAGGTTCGATCAACACAATATTGGGGATTCAATTAATTAGTGTTAAACCGTTATACTGTTCCATTGAACAACTGTCATCGTCAAACGACAAAGAAACAGCAATAGCTCGGGTCGCTAGTAAATAAACTGCACTACTCAGCGACTACCTTAGTTCCATCAATTTTTTAAATTGAAGTGGTCTCAATTCCATAAGTGTGTTAAACAGATGATGGAATAATAAAAATAAATCAAAACCTTTACAAATTATACTATCAACATAAACTTCTTACCTGCTCAATCACAAAAACATAATACGGCATATTTTGTCGTAGCAACAAAGCATGTAGTCTTGGCAATAATAACTTAAGGTGCTTTTCTCGTTCCCTATAGGGTATAATGACAGCTATTTTTTGTGAAGACACACATTGCGGTTTCCAACTCCCCTCACAAACATGCTGAGCTTCATATAACAAGTTCAGAAAATCTGTGGGAGTATCTGAGCTATATTGGGTTAGATCAAGCTCTTCACTTTTCGGGCAACAGACTAGTAAGTGATAAATTAACTGTTGCAAAAATACCTTTGCTTCCTGGTTGGCTACAGAGCTCCTTATCAGTAAGTTCATCAGGATGAGTGTAAACGACCCGAGGCGGAAGATTCGGCAAACTGGCTATGATGAAGAAAACTGCTACCACCACGTATACTGTCATACATAACTTGCAGCGATAAAGTGAAAGACGTCTCACAAAACGATTCCCACGAATAAGAATCATAGTTTCCCTCACCAAGTTTCAGATAATGATAGGTATATCACTTTAACAAATGACATTGGTTTTGACCATTTTGAAGGTTCCTCAAATCGGTAGACGGTTTGTGTGAACAGCGTTTTTAGGTTTTTAGGCAAATGGTTCGATAGCCACTTGATACTAATCAGCCTAATTGACTTGGAACTACAGTTGAGTTAAAATTAAAATAGGAGCACATTTTCGACTCACATGTAATGTTCATTACATGTGAAACTGCTTGAAAATTGGGCGACAGAGTAGAGAGAAGAAGTCAAGGTAAAAAGAAGAATATCTAACCGAACATTGAGGCAGTCTAAAAAGAAATGACCGAAAACCGCGGTCATGACAAGTTACTCCGTTGTCATGTCATATTCAATATTCAATTGATTGAGTAAACACTAAGAAGACAAGTGAAGTATACTTGTGATGAGCTGATAAGTGCCAGTTTTTTGACTTCTTTTGTGCTACATAACAATTAGCGGTTTCCAGTGAAGTTGATCGGTTGTAGTCTAGCTTGTAGCGGTAGATCAATCCTCAAAGTAAAAAGCTGTGTAAGTCTTTGACATTGATTCTAACTTCATCAGTTTTACTGAGGACACCCCAGGTAAAGGCGCTCGACAACGAATTCATACCAGATTACAATTATGTACGCCGTTCTACTCATCCCTCTCAACAACTAGCCAGGTTAGATAGAGTGGTTCTCAACATTTCGATTACTCTCCAAATACATCTTCGAACTCATTCATCCCTAACTTATGATTCGGCCTAATTCGTATCTTGTGTTGTCAAACCCTCGATATTCGTGGGATCTTAATGATGACGTCGAAATGACGGGTTACATCAAACGATGAACTGCAAGTTTGTTCCTTGTTGTGACATACATCCCTTTTCAATTTCACATATCGCGATATTATTTTTTTACCCTTGGAGTTTTTGGTCTGTTTACCCATTTTGTCTACATAACGTTGGAACAAGTACCTAAACTATTAAAAATGAGGAATCTTGCGCCTCCTATATTCATTCGTGCCATTCTGGCCTGATAATAATGATTCATCTTCCTTGGTCATAGCCCAGATTTCGAACCTTTCAAAGTAATCTTCAAAACCTTCAGAATTTGAATGAATATCTCACTTTTCCATTACAGGCTCCATCGCGACGCCAATATAATGTTATGAATTATTTGAATTATAGCACGAACTAAGAGTCCCAGAAATAACGCAACTGAATTAGGAAGTGAGACACAAGCACAAACGAATGTATTGTATTTGGAATTCGAAATCGAGCGTTCAACAAGTACAAAGGTATTATTAGTTCATTCAATCACCACATCACTCCATCATGAAAATCAATCCTTTGTTTGAACTGTAAAAGAGGCTTGTGACTTCGTTTCGGCAGGGACACTAATTTTCATATGCTTTCTGTTATCGTGGGGATTCATTAGAAATTTATTGTGAGACGGATAAAAATATGTGTAATTTTAGCAGCGAATTTCAAAATCGCGGCAAAATATTGCAAAATAAGTAATATGATGTTATGACTTTACTCTGTTAATTGTTACGTGACAAAACCACCAATTTGGACATCAATTTATATGCTATCCAACAATAAGTTATCTTTATCAGAACCTTTATCTGATAACATAGGTTCCTACTCAATAGTCTGTACGCTTAAAAAAATATTGTGGTGACTATAAAACGTCTCACATATTATGTAACGAAAGTAATATTCATAAAGTCCTCCCAAAGTGCTTTATCACATACTATTGACATTTCTTCTCCCTCTACTTTGTCTTGTACACCAACTACTATGGAGTGCTCTAACAACTATCTTTTGCATTTTACATTCCTACTTGTCTCGGACTTATTACCTGTTTCAAGTCAAAATCTACCCTTGTTGTTAAATTTTTCGTCATATAATACTCGGACTACTGACAGTGAGTTTGTGGAGATAGACCTGACAACCTTACTTTGTAAATAGTTTTCAATGTTATTTGTATTTGCTTTGTCAATTTTTCACTGTATGTACATTCATCATCAAATGACTGTACATGTTGTTTTAGTCAATGACCTTGAAGTCACTTTCCGTTGTGATTCCAACATAGCGTGACATATTCTTTCTGGCTAACAAATACATTACTACTCACACATCCCTCGTTCTGTTTTCATTCGAGATTGAGTTAACTTAGGTCTAAAACAAATATTATTTGCATTCATAGACTGAGAAAGTGAATACACCATATCTTACTTTGGGTTACACTACTGGGGAGATCATCGATACGTTTGGAATTACTAAGCCTCTATAATTGTGGATTTATTGTACCAGATCAAAGCTGAACACGCATCATTTTGGGTGAACTTAAGTAAAGTCCCATTTTTATTGTATTTGTAACATTTAACTTGTATATATTAATATTACTATTGATTGTTATTAACTTTGTTGATATCTTTTGCTTTTATATATTGTCTGGTCCACCACAATTATTTGGTGAGCCTCGATTATTTTTTTTAGACATTTACTATATATATCCACATAATTTATTATTATTATTAATTGGCACGACGCCATTTTTTGTTTTTGACATTATGAACTCTCCTAATAAACTTATCGATATAGATAGCCCATCAACCAACCCCTTTCATTCATCACAGCCAGAAGATAATGTTTTAAACTCAATAAACGCTATTTCTGAACTAAAATTACCAACATACGGTGTCAACAACCTTAGAATTTGGTTTGCACAAGTAGAGGCACTATTTTTGGCGAGGCGTATACGTTCGCAAGCGACTAAATATGCCCATGTCGTCGGTGCACTACCTATAGAAGTAGCAATGGAAGTTGGTGACCTGATAGATAACGTACCAGAAACGGACCCCTATGACAAAATAAAAGCCGCAGTAATCCACCGTACATCGCTGTCAGGCGAAAAACGTCTACAACAACTGCTTACCTCGTGCGAGCTAGGAGATGAGAGACCTTCACAGTTACTCCGACACATGACACAGCTCGCCGGCCCATACAAATTAGACGAGACGCTGCTTAAGCAGATGTGGTCACAAAGGTTACCTTATAGCGTCAGACAAATCCTCAGCATATCAGGAGCCTCTGTCAGTCTTGATGATTTAGCAGACATGGCCGATAAGATGATAGAAATATATCCCGATAGTCGCGGCGTTAGCGCGATACAATCCTCTAGTAGAGAAAACATGAGCGACGCACTCAACATCCAACAACAAATAACACAGTTAACACAGCAGCTAGCATCACTGCAGGCGACTGTTTCCACCATCCATTCTCGACCTCCCAGATCTACGTCCAGAAGGAGATCAGTATCCAGACATCGTCTTTGGTCATCTAAGCGGGCAGCCGGAATTTGTTGGTATCATTCGAATTATGGTGAGAAGGCACGTCGTTGCACGAAACTGTGCAACTTCACGACAAACAAGCCAGACCATCAAGGAAACGAAGTGGCCAGACAGTAATGGCGGCAGCTGTTACTGGCCAACATGTTAGCCGCCTCTTCCACATCAGGGATCGTATTTCTGGCTCAGACTTCTTAGTCGATACTGGAGCAGAAATCAGCATCATCCCACTCCATCTCTCACACAGACAACATACGACAAGCACTAAATTGTCCTTAGTAGCGGCTAACGAATCAGTTATCAAAACTTATGGAGAGGAATCTCTTATATTAGACCTCGGGCTCCGCAGAAGATTCACATGGGTATTCATAGTTGCTCAAGTCAAACGACCCATCCTCGGGGCCGATTTCCTTAGTGCGTACAACCTGTTAGTAGATATGACCAACAAGAGATTAATCGACGTAAACACACGTTTACAGGTAAATGGTACACTCTCCAACGACAACGAAGTCCATGGTGTTCGAATAATGAAACCTGTAAACAACATTTTCAACGACATTCTAACAGAATACCAGTGCATTACGAAATCAGATTACCAAAAGGAAGGTAACCCACAGCTGGTGCAACACCATATCACTACCACCGGACCACCCATTCGCGCCAGAGCGAGGAGATTACCACCAACAAAGTTGCAGACAGCTAAGAGAGAATTTGAACACATGATGCAACTTGGTATCATCAGACCATCTAATAGACCTTGGGCCTCGCCATTACACATGGTACCAAAGAAAGACCAAGATTGACGTCCGTGTGGCGACTACCGCCGTCTGAATAATCAAACCATCCCTGATAGGTATCCTATCCCACATATACATGACTTCTCGTTAAATTTACATGGTAAATGCATCTTCTCGAAAGTTGACCTCGTGCGTGCATACCATCAAATTCCGATGGCACCAGAAGACATCGAGAAAACAGCCATCATCACACCCTTTGGTCTGTTTGAGTTTCTAAGAATGCCATTCGAACTGAAAAATGCCGCCCAGACATTCCAACGACTCATGGATGATGTCACAAGAGGTTTAGACTTCGTATTCGCCTACATAGACGACGTTTTGATCGCAAGCTCATCAATAGAAGAGCACGCCCAGCATGTTCAGATCTTCTTTGAACGTTTTAAGAAAGATGGCGTTGTTATCAATCCTTCCAAATGTATATTCGCCGTCCCAGCCTTAGAGTTTTTAGGACATTACATTGACTCTCAAGGCATCAAACCACTCCCAGAAAACGTTAAAGCTATTACCAATTACCCTGAACCAATCTCCATAAAGTCATTACTTCTTAGTACAAGGACGAACTTTCACCATCATGACCGATCACAAACCTTTATGTTACGCATTCAACACTTCGTACGACCGACACTCACCTCGCGAAGCACGACAACTGGATTACATCTCCAAGTTTACGACAGATATAAAATTTGTCAAAGGACACACCGACGTCGTAGCTGACGCATTGTCACGTAAGGACGTAAATACCCTGGTACGTAAAGAAGACATCGATCTAGAAACAATCGCAAAACTACAAGTAGACGATGCGGATTTGAAGGTCTGCCAGGAGAAGTCTAAC